ATTAATGTGACATATTTTGGTTTTGTTTTTCTTATATTAAACTAGCACTGCATTCCTAAAATAAACCCAATTCAGTCACAGTCACAGTGAATAACCTTGGGTATGTCTTGCTCTCTGCTACCAGTTTTATTTAGAAAATCTACATCAATGTTGACAAGTGAGATTAACCTATAATATCAGTTTAGGATTAAGCTCATGTGCCTTAAAGAATGCAATTGACTATCATGCCATCTTGTTCTATTTGTATGACATAAAATTATGAGTTTTGTGAAGTTTGAATATTTTTTCTAGCAAATCCTTTTTATTCCAGCTGCTTTTATGGGGGAGGAGAAAACTTCTTTTTTCTTTTATCTCATCAATTATGCCAATAGAATACTGACTTTGTTCATCTTTTCAAAGAGCCGAATGTTGATTGTATTTGTAGGTTATAAGGCATTTTCAATTTTCAATTTATTTTTGTTTTGTTTTTTTTTGAGACGTAGTCTCACTCCATTGCCCAGGCTGGAGCACAGTGGCGCAATCTCGGTTCATTGCAACCTCTGCCTTCAGGGTTCAAGCAGTTCTTGAGCCTCAGCTTCCTGAGTAGCTGGGACCACAGGTGTGTACCAACATGCCCGGCTAAATTTTGCATCTTTAGTAGAGACGGGGTTTTGACATGTTGGCCAGGAGGTCTCGAACTCCTGACCTCAAGTGATCTGCCGGCCTCAGCCTCCCAAAGTGCTGGGATTACAGGCACAAGCCACCATGCCCAGCCACAGTTTATATAACAATCTTGACTAATTTGTTGTTAGTCTGCTGCTTTGTTCTTTTTCTACGTTTTTTTTTTCTTATTTTAATACTTAGAGGAATAAGATTTCTTAAAACTTTTGTCTATATGGTATTTACGTTATTTAATAATCAACTTTTATGGTAATACTATGTATATTTTATTATATTCTATATGTTTTTCTCTAACTCAGTTGCTATTTAGGACTTTTATTTTGCCATTAATTCTATTTTTAAATTACTTATTTAAACACCACATGCACACGGTGAGAAATTTAAGCTACACAAGAACAGGTCAGTCTTCCCTCCACTCTCTTTCCAGCTTTCCACGTTGCCATCTTAGACTCACTGTTACCAGTTTCTCGGGTAACTTTCTGAAGAATTTCATGTAGATGCATGTTTATTTCTTTCACAAAAAATGAGAGCATATTATACACTGTGTTCTGTGTTTTGAATACATAAACCTACATAAGAGAATTTATCACAATTTTAACATGGCTTAGTTTTTTAAAAATATATGGCCTTTTCTATTTAAAAATTTATCTAATTTTTTTGAAGACAGAGTGAGTCTCTGTCACTCAGGCTGTAGTGCAGTGGCAGGATCTCTGCTCACTGCAACCTCTCTGCCTCCCAGGCTCAAGTGATTCTCCCACTTCAGCCTCCCAAGTAGCTGCCACCACTCCTGGTTAATGTTTGGATTTCTGTAAAGACAGGGTTTCACTGTGTTGCCTAGGATGGTCTTGAACTCCTGGACTCAAGTGATTTGCCTGCCTCAACCTCTCAGAGTTCTGGGATTATAGCTATGAGCCACCACACCTAGAACTTTTATGTATTTTTTATTTCTAATTTTATTTTGATAGAAATTTCATAAAACTATCTGAATCGATCTTTTTGTATTTACTAGCATGTACACTGTAACATAAGTGCTCAATTTCTATGAGTCACATAGATTTTTTTATTGAGACATTCTCATTCTGTTGCCCAGGTTGGAGTACAGTAGCACAATCACAGGTCACTGCAGCCTTGAACTCCCGGGCTTAAGCAATCCTGTCTCTGTCTCCTGAACAGGTGGGACTGTAAGCACAGGCCACCAAGCCCGGCTAATTTTTAAAACATTTTCCTGTAGAGAAGGGATTTTTGCTCTGTAGTCTAGGCTGACCTCAACTTCCGGCCTCAAGCAATCCTCCCACCTTGGCCTCCCAAAGTGCTGGGATTATAGGCATGAGCCACCACACCCAGCCCAAGTAAGCTTTTTTTAAAGAGTACTGCTCTTGATTATGTTTAATTTTCTCCAAATCTGTTAATTCTATTTTACAAGTTATTCAGTTTAAAACTATAACTTTTTTTTTTAGTATGCCTGATCTTTTATGATAGTTGAAAAACACTTCTACCAAAATTATGTTCCTTTCTATTTCTACTTTATATGTATTTTGTTAAGTTATTTAAAGCATGTAGAGCCAATAAAGTTTTTTACATGATTTACTGTGCTTTTATAACTGTCTTTATTGATTTGGAAATGCATTTTAGTGTAAAGATCTACTCTTTCAGATAAAACTTGAAGTTTTGGCTTTTTATGCATATGTGGTGGGAGGAATGTACATGGTAGCTTACAAAATACTCTTGTTTACTTAGGTAATTTTCCTTGAATAGATTATATCTTATCTAGGGCTTAAAGTAAAAAATGATGTGTTTCTATTTACAATTATACTCCTATCATCAATTATTCAAAGGGTTTTTTTCCTCAAGTGCAGGGAGAGCACCTCACTGACACTGAGGCCAGGAAGAGAAGGCAGATATTTCTGCTTCTTTCTCATTTAATGCCCTTGAAATGCAGTAGAGGCTGGGCATAGCAGCTCACACCTGTAATCCCAGTGCTTTGGGAGGCTGAGGCAGGTGGATCACTTGAGGTCAGCAGTTCAAGACCACCCTGGCTAACAATGTGAAACCCTATCTTGACTAAAAATACAAAAATTAGCCAGGTGTGGTGGAGCATGCCTGTAACGCCAGCTGCTTGGGAGCCTGAGGCAAGAGAATCACTTAAACTAGGGAAGTGGAGGTTGCAATGAGGCGAGATCACGTCACTGCACTCCAGCCTCGGCAACAGAGTGAGACTCCATTTGAAAAACAAACAAACAAAAAACAGCAAAAACAAAACAAAAAAAAATCCCGCAGTGGAACATGCTCCCTAAGGTGGTATGAACTTCCAATGCTGGCTTAGTGACATACTAGGTAGAATATGCTTTGTAATGATGGTAGCTATGCCAGACTGACTGAGGCTGTGAGGGCATTTCATTTCGTTCTTCTCTGGGTACCTTAGGTAACTGGCTAAGTCTGTAAGATCACGTTTTTCACCAAACATCTGTGCATCAAACACATACACTACTTACAAAACCCCCATGGCATTTTCAGCTTAACAGTTCAAAAACCTCACCTCATTTATATAAATATTTAACACAAATTGGTACACAAATACAGGTAAATATGCATACATGTCTTATCAAAAATATCTTAAAAGATTTACTTGTAAATGGGCAGAGATTATGAAGTCCCTTTTCCCTAATATTTTTAGACCCAGGGCTTTCTTATATCGCAATAAAGCGGTACTGAATCACAACTTCGTAGAAGTAGACAACTGAAAACCACAGTTTCGAATTATTACCACTGAAATTCCAATGTCAGTCTTCTAAATCCTCCTGTAACAGTCTTTAGCATAATCCAGAGTTTCTCCAGGCTTAAGGAATATTCACATCTCACTCTTATGAGAAACAAGTTTTATTCCCTCACTACAGTAAACTAAATTCCCAACAGTGCCCTCAGAGTTTCAAGCATATATATCTCCAGAGAGGGAAAAAAACCAGTGGAGGAAAACTAAACGTAGAAGATGAATCAGGATACTAAATTAGTAAATAGGCAAACAGAAGTTTCTAAGAAGCGCTGTAATAAAGTGACAGGTAATCACCAACCCTCAGCATTTTCCTACTCCTCACTCCTGCTTCCAGACACCACAATGTTGCCCATACATGGGGTCAGACATGAACATAACACTTCCCCGAATTTGAATCTACGCATTTGATCCCATCTGATCAAATGTGTAAATGTCAAACTACAAGAATATTAGTTCAATACAAGAATATTTTTGTACTGAAATAAACTCAGATTTCTGGCTAAAGTAATTCTTCATTGAAGAGGTATAAGAAGTCAATAAGATTAGCATTTTATTGACTGTAATATCCACCTGGGCCTCCATGCCAAGGATAGAGCTCTATTAAGTGACACTGTGATAAAACAAGGCCTCCTGTCAACCCAAGCACCAAAGCCACTCAAAGGAAGTTCAGAATGAATTGACCTTCCCACCTCATCTACTGAATTATGTTACAGTGAGAAAGAATCAGTTACCCTGCTGTAAGAGGCTGTAATTATCCTAGCAGTTCCTCTATAGAACAGTTTGGTTAGTAACCAGGAATAAAGACAGTAACAAATGGATTATGTTGATGGTGTTAATGGGAGAGATGCTAAGAGATCTCTAAGAAGCTGTATAAGCTTAAGTCCTACTGAAGGATGGAAAAAAGGAAAAGTAAGAGGACCAAAGAACCTATGACACTGAAATGTCAACAACCCAGAGATAGGGACATGTACTGGCAAACTTTCCCAAACTCCTCAAAAAACACTAACAGTTGAATTCACCGTTTTCATCTGACTCAGCAATCACTAAGTACATCCCCCTCAAACTTTTTTTTTTTTTCCGAGACAGGGTTTTGCTCTGTCACCCAGGCTGGAGTGCAGTGGTACGAACATGGCAACCTCCTGGGCTCAAGCAATCCTCCCATCTCAGCCTCCCAAGTAGCCGGGACCACAGGTGCATGCCACCACATCCAGCTAATTTTTAACTTTTTTGTAGAGATGGGGTCTTGCCATGTTGCCCAGGCTGGTCTGAACTCCTGGCCTCAAGCAATCCTCCCACCTTGGCTTTTCAAAGTGCTGGGATTACAGGATCATTCCACTGTACCCAGCCTACTAAGTGCCTTTTAGTATTGGACAGTAAAGTAACTATTGGCATTGCTTTATATTAGAATTACTTCACAGATATGAAACTGGAAGATGCAACTCTCCCATGTCTAAGCCCACCCCTTCTATAGAAAACATTCAGTATGTACACGGTGACACCCACTCACTTACACCAAACCAAAAGATGGCTACTCAGTGAGAGCAAAGCACTATTGAGCAATTCTTCTGACCTGCAGAATGAGAACGAAGTAGTCTACAGGCTTGTTGCGCTGGTAGAGGTAGTACTCGGGGGCTTTCTTGTTCTTCTCATCATACTTCAGTTCCTGGATGACATTGGGGTGCTTTAGCAGCCTTAGAAGGATCTTCTCTGACATCTGGGATGGGCTAAATGCTTCTACTTCTATAGATATAAACACAACTTGATATTACATTTCAAACGGAGGGAAAAAAATTATACTATTAATAGTAATTAAGGTGTTTGGATAAGAATACTTGGAATCGAAGTGATAGTGTATGGATGGACGAGGCTTCCATTTCGTGATCCACTGGGGACAGATTACCTGGGAGAAATTAGAAAGTGCTGAATTCTCACATTTGTTCCTTTTACTTCTTTTCTTTCAACCCGTCATTGACTTCAGTCCTCATCAAAGCACCCTAATTTGACTGACAGAAATGAAAATCAACCGCAAGCGGGCTCTTTGAGTGCGGGGATGCCCCTCAACAAGCCATAACAGTCTGACTGTCGACCAACAGCCAAAGGAAGAAGCCAAGGTCAGGAACATCGGGTGCGGTTAGTGCCAGTGCACACACACAGGTGCCCCACGTCTCCCTCTCCCACTCAACTATCCCGAGGAACGTGGGGAACAAAGAGGGTTGAGACTGGGAATCAGAGCAGGGCATGTGCACACATCAACATGCTAATTTAAAAAAAAGGTAATATTCAAAAGTATTTACAAAGATAGCATTTTATTTTAAGTAACAAGAACAGAAATTACTGATTGAAGGGTGCTATCCTGCAACTGGGCTCCATGATATCTCAGAAGCAGAGTAGGAAATTTAGTTTTAGACTTTTTTTTTTTTTTTTGAGACAGAATCTCACTCTGTTCCCCAGGCTAGAGAGCAGTGGCATGATCTTGGCACACTGCAACCACCTCCTCCGGGTTCAAGCGATTATTCTGCCTCAGCCTCCAGGGTAACTGGGATTACAGGCATCCACCACCATACCTGGCTAATTTTTGTATTTTTAGTAAAGACGGGGTTTCATCATGTTGGCTAGACTGGTCCTGAACTCCTAGTCTCAAGCAATCAGCTCGCCTTGGCCTCCCAGAGAACTGGGACTACAGGTATGAGCCACCATGCCCAGCCTAGATGTTTAGTTTTAATTTGTAGTTCTTAAATGATGAGGAACAGTATTATGAAAACTAGAATAAGAGTAAGAAGTGAAAGACATTGTCTTTTGTTTGCTAATTTATGAAAGCTGTAAGTTCTCTACTGTGCCTTTTTTGTAATAAGACAGTACATTACAGAAATTTTAGAATACAGAAAAAAAGAAAATAAAAATTATCCATAAGCCAACCCCTCAGATTACCATCTGAGCAATTTAGTGAGCGTGTCTTTCCGGTGCCACGCCTAGGTATGTGTACTCGTGTATACATGTGTGTAAACACAAAACAACTCTAAACTTAAAGTACACAGTTTTAGATCCTGTTTTTCCCCACTTTGGGTTAAGTTATGAGAATTTTCTGATGTGATGAATATTACATTGTGAGCATTTCCATGTGTCCAAGAACGCGACCTTAAGTTAAACAGCATTCCGTCACGTGGTTGTGGTTAGCCTTCTTTTAAACATGGTTTAAGTTTACTGTGTGCAGGTGAAAGGCACTGGCTGCCTAGCAGGGACACTGATGTCTTCTAAAGCCACTGGGTGCTTTTAGACTTTCTCACACTTCCCCTGGCCACCAGAGCTCAATCCTGCAGAGCATTTGGGGATGGGAGAAGGGTTGATCAGTCTCAAGTCCATTCAACCTTGACCTCTCTGGAGCAGTCAGCGCCGGCTGGGTTGGTGGTTTAAATAACATGAACACTTGCCTCCTGGAATGGGCTCAAGTTAATCCAATCTGAGGAGGCCATCAAGAAATCCATATCAAAGTTCTCAGAATTTCTGATTTTATTCAAACCGTAAAAGATAAAGATTTAATTGTGAAAACCTAGTTTTCTTCTTTGCAAATCACAGCCCCTATGTTACCATTGATGTCCAACTGTGCTTCCAGGACAAGCTGAAGAGAGATTGGACTCAACTGTCCATTAAACAAGCTGGTGCCAGGCTGGCACCATCAGCCTGCTCCGCCAGCTGGCTCTCCCACGGACCTAGCTGGAAGGAGATGGCCTGGCCTACTGTACACATGCAGTGTGGCACTAACATTCATCCTTACCTTTCAGACCAATTTTAAGTTACTGGTCCACCCCTGGTAAATGTCTCAGAGGGTTCATGCCGACACTGAACACAGGAGAGGAGAGAATTTAAAAAGAAACAAAACAAAACAAAACAAAACAACAAAAAAACAAAAAACAAAACACAAAAGTGGCATTACTTATCACCCCATTTCCCAGTGTCCACCCCCAGCCCACCCCAGTCAGTGGTGGGTGAGAAACACGCTTCAGGGTTGGTAGAGATCACAAACTGTGATAAGCTGCACTTGCCTGTTGCTAGGAAACGGTGCATGGCCAGGAGGAGCTGTGGTGATATTTTAACCTTCATCTCGCTGTCTGTCTGCTTAAAGGCAGAAAAATCTTGCTTTCGTTCCCGGTGAGCCACTTTCTTTTTCGTTCTGTTATCGGCTACGGGAGGAATGAAAACAGAGGAAAAAAATAAGAAAATGTATACCATGAGATCAGGGCCCTTTTCGAATTAAAAAGTCAAAATATATTGGAAGGGCTGGACTGTATTTCCAGATGCAGGTGCTCTATGCACAGATGCCACAGCGAAGGAGAGACAGAGAGCCAGATCCTCATCAAATCAGCACGGCAGCCTGGGCACCGTGCAGTCCGCAGTGAGTGACTGCAGGCAGCCTGATGAGTGAACGTGCTTCAGAGGAAGGTCTATAGAGGGCCCTTGTGAGCACAGCATCAGGGAAACGCAGACAAAACCTCACAGGACCCACAGACGCACACAACAGGGCGCACAGCTGGGGTGTGCAGTCTACTGCTGCTCAATGTCAGCATACTCCAGGCAAAGGACCATCACTATGTACACACAAGGGAGGTGTGCCGCTGCCTATAAGAGGCTCCTCGTTTCCACCAAAAGTCAACACACAAACAAAATCCCCTTAAGAAACAAGAATGCTTTCGCAGAGCAGTGTTTTAATAATATCTGTTTGCTTCACTGCTACTCCAGACCATGAGATCCTCAAGGTCAAGCAGGTATAAATGGGATCTGGACAGGGGTCAGTGAACTTCATCTGAAAAGGGCAAGAGAGTCAGTATTTTAGGTTCTTCGGGTCTCCACATCGCTGTTTAGAAAAATGAAGGAGCATGGCTATTTTCCAATCAAACTTTCTTTATGAACACTGCAAGTGCATATAATTTTTGCATGTCACAAAGCAATTGTTCTTCTTTTTTCTTCTTTGAGATAGGCTCTTGGACTACTGCCCAGGCTAGAATCAGCAGCACAACGGCAGCTCGCTGCAGCCTCAACTCCAAGGCTCAGGCGTTCCTCTCACCTCTGCCTCCCAAGTAGCTGCGACTACAGGTACACGCCACCACGCCCAGCTAACTGTTAAACTTTTTGTAGAGACAGGGTCTCACTATGCTGCCCAGGCTAGTACTGGAACTCCTAGGCTCAAGCAATCCTCCTGCCTCTGCCTCCTAAAGTGCTGGGATTACAGAAATGAACCACCTCGTTTGGCCACTTTTCAACAATTTAAGATGTGAAAAGACATTCTTAGCTTGCAGGTCACACAAAATAAGAGGGCAGGCACTCACGGGCTGTGGTCTGCCAGCTCCTGACCTGGAAGGTACCTCCTGCAAAACCATCTTTCAAGTATTTTTCTGGACAAACTAATGAGCAAGAAAAAACTAGCAAAGACAAGACCCCAAGCCCTTGCTCCTTCCCAACAATTGAGTCACTGCATTACTGTTTCTTGCACAGAGCAAAACAGATCAATTACTAGGCTTTTACCAAGAAGGCAATTGCAACTTCCACTTTTCATCTATCTCAATTTTTTGAGACCCAGACAGCAAAATCAATACAGAATTTAAAAATAATTTTCTAATGGCAACAGCTGTCACTCAAAATCTCTATCTAGATTTAATAACATACCTGAAATTGGCTGGCCACAGTGGCTCACACCTGTAATCCCTGCACTTTGGGAGGCCAAGGCAGGTGGATCACTTGAGGTCAGGAGTTCAAGATCAGGTCAACATGGTAAAACCCTGTCTCTACTAAAAATACAAAAATTAGCTGGGCACAGGGCTGGGTGCTTGTAATCCTAGCTACTTGGGAGGCTGAGGCAGGAAAATCACTTGAACCTGGGAGGTGGGGGTTGCAGTGAGCTGAGTTCGAGTCACTGCACTCCAGCCTGGGCAACACAGTGAGATTCAGTTTCAAAAAAAAACAAACAAAAACAAAAACAAAAAAACAGAATATACCTGAAATCACAAGTCCAGTATCTTGAGCCAATAAGTTATATTAGGCAATACTTACGTAAGAAATCAGTCCCATCAAGGCTTAAAAGAAGTTAAACTAATATTTGTATAAAACTGAAGTGCAAACATAGGATCTCCTAAATGGCAAATCGCCTTTCTAATAATAAGTACTAACCCTGGGGAAACACATTTCGTGCTTTGTTTGTTTGTTTGTTTTTTTGAGACGGAGTTTTGTTCTTGTTGCCCAGGCTTGAGTGCAATGGCGCCATCTCTGCTCACCTCAACTTCCACCTCCCAGGTTCAAACGATTCTCCTGCCTCAGCCTCCTGAATAGCTGGGATGACAGGAATGTGCCACCATGCCTGGCTAATTTTCTAATTTTAGTAGAGACGGGGTTTTCTCCATGTTGATTAAGCTGGTCTCGAACTCCTGATCCACTCATCTCGGGAATTACAGGAGTGAGCCACCACGCCTGGCCCACACTCAGTTTTCAAATAGTCACTTGTGAGGAAGGATGAACATGAAGACATAAATAGTATTTTCTACTATGAGACCTCTGACGACCCTTCAAGTGAGGAAAGGGCAAAACATACTTCGGAAAGGGTGTTTTTTTAAGAATGCTATTCAGATGTGAGGGTGAAACAGGATATGCTTTCAGAAGACAGTCATTAATTACATGTAATTTTTTTTCTTTTGTGGGTGTGGGGAAGACTTTCTCAGATTTATTTACCTTTTTTTTTTTTTTTTTTTGAGAGAGAGAGAGAGAGAGAGAGAGTCTCATTCTGTGCCCAGGCTTCAGTGCAGTGGCATGATCTTAGCTCACTGCAACCTCTACCTTCTGTGTTCAAGCAATCCTCCTGCCTCAGCCTCCTGAGTAGCTGGGATTACAGGCGAATGCCATCATGCCCAGCTGATTTATATTTTTGTAGAGATGGTGTTTCACCATGTTGGTCAGGTTGGTCTCCAACTCTTGACCTCATGTGATCCACCCATCTTGGCCACCCAAAGTGCTGAGATTACAGGGGTGAGCCACCACGCCCAGTGACTTTCTTATTTTTAAAATGAGGGATGTTTCCTTCTAGCAGGACTGAATAAAACCACCCCTGTTTTGAGCAAGGCAGACTTTGTCCTGAATAACCAGCTTGTTGGGAAGCTGGGACAGTCCACTTCCCCTCCACCAAGCCATGCTTTAATGCCAGGCAGGATACACAGGGCCCAGATGCTCTTTCTCTACCCCACCCCTAGGACCCCCAAACATCTCAGGCCTGGGTCATCTCTGAATTTATGGAACCCTTGAGCATTGCTAAGGGTGCAGTCAAGGAAGATTTAAGCTTCCCAGTCCAGCAATCGTGTTTCATATTTTAATGAGACAGGATTCAGCTCAACACTCAGCTCAGTATCAAGTCTACACCTGGGCAAATACGGTATCCATACTCACCCCGATCCAAGCCTCTCGCCACTCTCACCTTCCCCAAAAGAGAAGGCAGAGAAGCAGAGAACAAGAAAAACACATTCTTACTGTGTACCCTGCACTATCCTGCTTCCCAACACCCCAAACCTGCTGCCCCAGCAAACTAAACTTGCAAACCTCACCTCCACCCCTCACCCAGGGGTTCTGAAACAAGAAAGTACTGTTGTCATCCATCAGTTTAACAAATCCCACTCACTTTTTTTTTTTTTTTTTGAAACAGAGTCTCACTCTGGTGCCAAGGCTGGGGTACAGTGGCACAATCTTGGCTCACTGTAACCTCTGTCTCCCGGGTTCAAGTGATTCTACTGCCTCAGCCTCCTGAGTTCTGGAAGTACAGGTGCGCACCGCTACGCCCAGCTAATTTTGCATCTTTAGTAGAGACAAGGTTTCACCATGTTGGCCAGGCTGGTCTTGAACTCCTGACCTCAGGTGATTTGCCCACCTCAGCCTTCCAAAGTGTGAGCCACTGCGCCTGGCCTGCCATTCACTTTATAGAGTACTTGAATTATGAAAAGTACAAACACAAGTTTATCTGAAAACAATTTACCTAGTTGTATAAAATGAAATTTTAGTAGAGAACTATTTTTCTAAACATATATGAAATAAAATTTAAAACCAACAGCAGTTTTCTGTTTAGGGCAAGTAATGCCCTCATCAGTGGTTAGAAGCCAGCTGTCTTTTCAGAAGAATGCTGTCACATTGCACGGTCTGCTCCTTCCGATCAAGAGACTGGAATACACCGACAGGTCGTGCATGGCCTACACACATAGTGTATTGTTATAAACAGAGGCAGCAACTGGAGAAATGTCAGATGACTCACAACACAATAAAAAAAAGAACAAAGGTTTCAGGAATTACACTCAGGCAATGCTACTTACTGTATAAATCTGTTTCATCTAGAATCTCAGATTTGATGATTTCTTCAATCACATCTTCTAAGGTGACAATTCCCAGAACTTCATAAAACGGATCCCCTTCTCCTTCATTGTTTACTCGCTGCACGATAGCCAGGTGAGATTTACCTTTAGAGAAAAGAAAAAGCTTAGGAAGTGACTTTCTGAATTTCCTGAATGACATATTATACGTGATATGGTAAAAACACCAGCAAACACAGATGCAGAATTACCACGTCTGTTTCTGCATTTTAAATGGTACTGAGATATCACAAATAAATGGAAGAACTTCATGAGCCATTAAAATCCAGAAAGTTATGCCAAACAGCATCACCCTCCACAAACACTGTGCTGCACCACTGTTCTCTGCTTCCTAATGGTAATGTCTCTTGCTGTGTAACATTCCAGCAACTGCTGCTTTAAGAGAGTGGTTCTCAAAGTGTGGTCCATGGTCCCCTAGGGATTCCCAAGACCCTTACAGGTGGTCCCTGAGGTTCAACTATTTTCATAAGGATACTAAGATGCTATTGACCATTTCACTGTGTGGATATTTGAACCAATGGTGCAAAGGCACCTTAGCACAGATGGAGGTAGTGGGAGGAAGCTGCACTTAGTGACTGTTCTGTCACAACACATGTGCAGTAAAGGGAAGGAAGCTTCTCTTAAGAATGTACTTGGCTGAGAGCCATGGCTCACTCCTGTAATCTCAGAGCTTTGGGAGGCCCAGGTGGGAGGACTGCTTGAGCCTACAGATTCAAGACCAGCCTAGGCAACACAGTGAGATCCTGTCTCTAGCAAAAACAGAAAAATTAGCTACAAATATGGGTACATGCTTATAGCCCCAGCTTCCTGGGAGGCTGAAGTGGGAGGATCCAGGAGTTCAAGGCTGCAGTGAGCTACGATGGAGCGGCTGCACTCCGGCCTAGGCAACAGAGCAAGACGCTGTCTCAAAAAAAAAGTTCTTGCCGAAGCAGTCAACATTAATTTCATGAAATCCTGACCTGAGTCCGTGTCTTTTGATAGTCTGTATGACAGTAGCCTGGGAAATGCCATAAAACATTTCTGTTGAATTCAGAAGTATGGCAGCTGTGCTGAGGAAAGGCACTTTTGTGACTGACTTGCAAGCTGGACTGGCCACTTTTTTGTTGAATTGTTTTTACTTGAAAGAATGACTACTAGACAACCTATGGTTATGCAGACTTGGGTATTTGTCAGGCATTTTCTAAAAAGATGAACCTGCCACATCAAGAAAAACAATAGGCAGTGTGTACTACCAATGATAAAATTTGAGCTTTCAATAGAAAATTATGATTTTGGCTGGGCATGGTAGCTCATGCCTATAACCCCAGCACTTTGAAAGGCTGAGGTGGGCAGATCACCTAAGGTCAGGAGTTCTTGACCAGCCTGGCTAACATAGTGAAACTCCATCTCTACTAAAAATACAAAAATTAGGGGGATGTCGTGGCATGTGCCTATAAGCCTAGCTACTCAGGAGGCTGAGGTGGGAGAATCACTTGAACCTGGGAGGTGAAGATTGCAGTGAGCCAAGATTGCACCACTGTACTCCAGCCTGGGCCACAGAGCAAGACTTCCTCTCAAAAGAAGAAGAAAAAGACCTGGCACAGTGATTCACATCTGTAATCCCAGCACTTTGGAAGGCCAAGGTGGGTCCATCGCTTGAGGTCAGGAGTTCAAGACCAACCTGGCCAAAATGGTGAAACCCCGTCTCTACTAAAAATACAAAAAAAAAGTTAGCTGGGTATAATGGTACATGCCTATAATCCCAGCTACTCAGGAGGCTGAGGCAGGAGAATCACTTGAACCCAGGAGCCAAGATCACACCATTGCACTCCAGCCTGGGCAACAAGTGAGACTGTCTCAAAAAAAAAAAAAAGGCAGGAGGGAGGGAGGGAGGGAGGGAAAGAAGGAAGGAAGGAAGGAAGGAAAGAAAAAATTAAGGCCAGGCGCGATGGCTCATACCTGTAGTCCCAGCAGTTTGGAAGCTGAGGCGGGTGGATCACGAGGTCGGGAGTTCGAGACCAGCCTGACCAATATGATGAAACCCCATCTCCACTAAAAATACAAAATTTAGCTGGACACGGAGGCATGCGCTTCTAGTCCCAGCTACTCAGGAGGCTGAGGCTGAAGAATTGCTTGAACCTGGGAAGTGGAGGTTGCAGTGAGCCAAGATCATGCCACTGCCCTCTAGCCTGGGTGACAGAGTGAGACTCCATCTCAAAAAAAAAAAAGTTAATTAAAATTTTGGGAGACTTGTAGCCCCCATGAGTGTAACAGCTCTCAACAGTTAAAGACTTTTCTGATGAGATTGCTGGCAATATGAAATGATTTTTGAAAATATTGAATATTGCAATCGGTCAACATTTTGAAGATCTATATAACTCAGTGAACCAATTATTTTCCAAGCGACTTTGCCAATGATATTACAAAATCATAGATGGGTACACAATCCATTCAGAGTACAAGACAGAATAATGGATTTTTAAAAAAATTCTTATTTGGGGCCAGGCGCGGTGGCTCACGCCTGTAATCCCAGCACTTTGGGAGGTCGAGGTGGGTGGATCATGAAGTCAAGAGATCAAGACCATCCTGGTCAACATGGTGAAACCCCATCTCTACTAAAAATACAAAAAATTAGCTGGGCATGGTGGCATGTGCCTGTAATCCCAGCTACTCAGGAGGCTGAGGCAGGAGAATTGCCTGAACCCAGGAGGTGGAGGTTGCGGTGAGCCAAGATTGTGCCATTGCACTCCAGCCTGGGTAACAAGAGCGAAACTCCGTCTCAAAAAAAAAAAAAAAAAAAAAAAATTTCAAGGGATCCTAAAACCAAAAACAGTTTAACCCATTTATGCCAAAGGTTGCAAGTTTTTTGTGTGTGAAAAATCAGACCTTGGTAATGACTTTGAGCAGTAGAAGAGAAATAACTTCCAAAAGCTTGGCATTCTAATCATGGAACACTAGGCATACATAGGTTAAGGTCTGGTGCTTTTGGGGATGGATCGCTTGAGACCAGGATGGCAAGCAAAGAACATGAACTCCTAGGTCAAACAGTTCTGGATTTGAACTCCAGCAGGCCACTCATTAGCTATTACTAGCAGAAGACCATGAGCAAACAATGTAGCTTTTCTGAGCTTCAGTCTCATCTCTAAATCAGCCTCAGAATTGCTACTGCACAGGTTGTTGTGAAGATCAGAGATAATGCTGGTACCCAGCAAAGACACTGCCTAGAATCCACTGGGTAATCACTAAGTGGTAATGCTTGTTTTTTAAATTAATGTTTTTCCTAAATTCTAAGGCACCATCAACTTATTACCAGCTTAGAGGGAAAAACCCCCACAATATTATTAAATGTACACAGTGGTTAGAAGATGTACCTTAGGCAGGGCTCAGCAGCTCATGTCTGTAATCCCAGCATTTGGGGAGGCCATGGCAGGAGGACTGCTTGAGGCAAGGCATTTGGGGCCAGTCTGGGCAAGATAGTGAAAACTAATCTCTATAAAAAATAAAAAAGATGCATTTCGACCTCAGAAAGATCTTTTAAAATATTAAGAGCAGCTGGGCGTGATGACTCACGCCTGTAATCCCAGCACTTTGGGAGGTGGATCACGAGGTCAGGAGTTCCAGATCAACCTGGTCAACATGGTAAAATCCCGTCTTTACTAAAAAATACAAAAATTAGCTGGGCGTGGTGGCGGGCGCCTGTAATCCCAGCTACTCAGGAGGCTGAGGCAGGAGAATCGCTTGAATCTGGGAGGTGGAGGTCATAGTGAGCCAAGATCGTCCCATTGCACTCCAGCCTGGGTGACAGAGCAAGACTCCGTCTCAAAAAAAAAAAAAAAAAAAATTAAGAGCATCTCTCAAACAATGTTGGTTTTCCCAATCCAAAGTGTGCACAGTACCTAAAACATATCCATAAATGAAGCCAAAGGCATAATCTGGAAACTTCATAATCAGCTAATTTTTGTATAATTTATGTTTAACAACAGTGTTTTCTTGGTGGGGGTGTGTGTGCAAGAGTTTTAAATAAGGTTTAGTTAACACTAAGTTGGGCGAGTTCAACCAGACACAACCAACCACATTATTCTCTGAGGGCAGCATCTGATCAAGTTCCCAGCACTTATGCAGACACTGGTTTTGGCCCTGTGGATCTGTTAGCCCTTTATTAACTCGGCAGTCTAAGTCAGCTTCTGCTCTGCCTCAGAGCCCCTTCTAGGCAGCCGTGACTACAAGCCTAGAAATTTAGATTGTTAGACAATTAGGCGTCCTACAATTTTCAACCCTAGCATGCTCACGTTCAAAGAATGAAAATATTTTGAGCAGAGGAGACAAGGAAGGAAAATTATCAGCAATGGATATAAACACTGCATCAGGTCAAATCAATTCTCATCTCGTCCACTTGGTCTGGTAGGTTTCTCACATCTGCTTTCCCAAGGACCCAACATAAGCAGTTAAAAATTCTTGGTGAATGCTGTCTGTCGAAAGTTAAATTCTTTTGCTATTCCCAGCTTGTGATCATTTAAAAGGAATTTTCCAAAGCAAGGTCTAATATTAGACTCAAAATGAAGTTTCCATTCCGCTGAGGCGCTATTCTCACCAAAGTAACTACCGTATAATCAGATTGTCTTGGAGCAACTCGTTTAAATGCAGATGACATACTTGAAATACCAGCTCAATAGCACCGACAGATTTGGCTGGAAAGGGCCTTACTCTAGGAGAAATTATTTCTGTGAATTAGGCTTCTTAGACTAAAAATTAAGTTTTCCTCCAAGTTCACTTGTTTCAAGGCTGAAACTTCTCCATTTGCCCCAGGGCCACATTCTTTTAGCTCTGGAATTCCTGGGGAGAAGTCCTGTTTTCTGAACCTTCTTCCCTGTGCACAGCACAAAGGAAAAACAACGACACCTCCCTCTCCTTTACTCAGGGTTTTGGAGAACAGTGATTCTATGCACCTTTCCACTTAACCATTCACTGCAGGGACTTTAGTTCTTGTCAAGGCATCAATCAAAAGGAAAATGTAAACAACTATTTTTTTTTTTTTGACAGGGTCTCACTCCCTGGCTGGAGTGCAGTGGCATGAACACAGCTCACTGCGGCCTTGAACTCCTGGTCTC